TTTATTCCCGGCATTTGACCATTTTGGGGTCCTGTTATTGTATTTAACAAATTGACGTCAGTTTTTGATGCGTCTATCCTCTTATTGATGATAAATTTCGTAATAACATTGACAAAGTTTACTGCGGAACCACTCGCCTGCGGCTCGTAGTTCCACAGTCACTTTGACAATGTTATGACACAACTTTTCATCAATAAGAGGACAGACGCATAAAAAACTGACCTCAATTTGTTAAATTGCAAAACAGTTTCAACAGTGGTTGATCAGAATTTTATTTTCCCTAAAAATTCAGTCAGGCAACTCAGGTCAACCGAGAAACTGATCACCTTGATTAATATATGACCCTACACAGAGTCTCGAGGCAACCACAGGAGGAGAGATAGCTAGGGCCTGACAATACTTCATGGTTACATGGACTAACCTAGCGGCCCTATCCAAGGCTTATTCGAGATTTCAGGATTCCACTTCTATCCTAATCAATTTCCTTGTGCTGTGTCCCTTGTCACGACACCGCTCTCCCAGTACCTCTTTCCTCCTAGGTATATAGATGGTTTATGGCTCCTGGAAGGATATTAATCCCCAGCGGAGTGGTAGCTAGCAGTGCTTTGATCACTTAGGCTACAAAACCTACCGAGAAGGGTGGTGGGAACTTCTTAACTAGGCGATTATGGAGACTTCATTTGCTACAGACCCAGGAGAAATTTTGCCGTGAGCCATTACGGACTGGAGAAGTCTCATAGGGGAATCGCTAAAGTAGTATTACATAAACGGATAACCGCCAAAACGTTAGCCCGGCATCCACCAGCCCTCAAGATAAAGTGATGCCACATGTATGGGTAAAATGTCCAGGCATTTTAAGGCTAAAGCAGACACTTGCGTACAGTTTCACAAATCTGTTCCTCTAGTGGCACTTTACTGGTTTGAGAACAATCTTGTTTTCCGTGTTATTTTCACACTAGGACCTTAGACTAAATATTTAAATCTACATCTTCAGAACAGTAAAGAAAAGCAGATAAGGTCCGAAAACTGGGCCTGGTACTCCCTCGGTCAAATGGGGTGAGGGGAATAGGGATAGAAAATTGAGCCCGCGATGTGGAGCAGTTATACTCACGTGACGTTAGCGTGACACCGTCGTAAACGAAAGTTCCATCTCGGAGAACGGTTTTATCAAACTCAAACTTAACAGCTCAAGGATGTCTCTCGATGTGTCCAGTAAAGATCTTTGGAGTGCGACTACTAGAAGTACAATCAGAGAAAGATGTCAATTCATGTTTAACAACGAGCTCTTGAGCGATGTGAAATTTGTCGTTCGAGACTCTGAAGGAGGAAGTGAAAGTATGAAGAAGATTCCAGCTCACAAGTTCTTGTTGGCGATCAGTAGCCCAGTATTTTATGCCATGTTTAACGGTGAACTGGCCGAGAAGAAAGACTCAATCGCTATCTCTGATTGCGATCATAAAAGCTTGTTGGAGTTGTTTCGTTTCGTGTACAGCGATGAAGTGAACTTGAACGCAGACAATGTCATGCAAGTGCTTTATTTGGCCAAGAAATACATGCTTCCTTCCCTCGCTGACAAGTGCACAGAGTTCCTTGGAGAAAACTTGGATGCGTCAAACGTGTTCCATGTGTTGCCAGACGCACAGAAGTACGAAGAGAAAGATCTGGAGGATCATTGTTGGGAAGTTATCGATAAACAGGCGGACGAAGCTGTGAAATCGGACGGTTTCGTGACAATTGAGAAATTAGTGTTGGAGGCATTAGTCGAGAGAGATTCGTTGAATATCAAAGAAGTGGGATTATTCAAAGCTGTCGATTGCTGGGCTACAAAGAAATGTGAAAAGCAAGGCCTAGCAGCAGAAGGTTCTGTGAAAAGACGGATCCTTGGAGAACGGATGGTTAAAGCAATTCGTTTCCCAGTGATGGAACAGAAGGAATTCGCCGATGTCGTGCTTGACTCTGACATACTCACAAAGAAAGAGTTAAGTGACATGATGAAGTACTTTAGTTCTTTACTGATATTTCCGGAGTGGTGTTCTGAGACCATAAGACGTGGTCGTAAGCGAATCAGCAGGTTTGGGTCAGGGGACAAATTAAAACTGGGGTGGTATTATTGTGCCTCGGCTGTTCGAAATTCATTAGTTCTTTCGGTAGACAAAAACATGCGATTGCATGCAGCACGCCTATTTGGAAGCGAAAACAATAAATATTCAGTAACACTTAAGGTAACTGACGCCAATAGGGTTGCTCTAGCAACTAAAGCAGGTAAGTTTCTTTCTGAACTTATGCAAAATGAAGGAGAGGAGTATCACGGCATTGATATCGTGTTTAAGCCTCCAGCTGTTTTACAGGCGGGAAAGCAGTATTTTTTGGAAGCTTCCATTAAAGGTCCACCTTCCTGGTATGGACAGGGTGGCTTGTCCCATGTGGAACATGCGCGCTGGAGTAACACTTTCCTTTGAAAACAAGGCTGGAGCAATAGAATTGAAAAATACAACTGTTTCAAATGGGCAATTTTCTGAATTTGAATTCACGTTATATTAAGTGTATGTCCTGTTATGTGTGAGGTATTGACTCAGAATCGAAGGTCTGCTTTTTTTCCAAAGTCAGTAGTCGTAAGGTCTTAAAGATTTAGTCCAAAACAGGCATTTAAACCATTGCAAATTAACAGATGATTTTTGAAAAAATAAAACATATCTGTATTCCAGCTACATTACTGATGAGCTGTGGGAGGCGTTTTTCTGTAGTAAATAAAAGTAAATTACTGTGAAATAAAGACATCTTGTTACTTTCAGCGAACAAACAAGCTTTTATTGAGGCCTTGGTTTAATGAAAATGTTGTTAGTGGGGGTTGAATAGGTTTTCGTATCGACGGATTTGGCCTTAAAAAGCGCACGGCTTGTGGATTTTTGCGGTAAATCGAGCGGATTCGTGGATTTTGAAAACACAGTGGATCATGGATTAGTTGTAAATTATAGCGCGGATTCCGGATTGTGCCTGTCTTGATGTTCGGATCTTTGGTCCTAAACGAAATTTGGATCAAAGATCTTTCTTCAAACTTAAACTCAGGTGTGAGACTGTCATTAGAATTGTACTATGTTATAGCCATCAAGTATGCTGCTTTCTGTACCATTTGTGCGAAATTAACAATGGCATTCACATTTACCAGTTTACTTTTGAACTTTTATACTTCAGTTTCCGTATGTGATTGTGGTTTTGGATTTGAACAAAAATATTGGCGGATCAACGGATTTGGCGAAAAAAAGGCACGGATTGGCGGATTTGCATAGCCCTGTTCACCCCCCCCCCCCCCCCCCCCCC